ACTGATTTACTATCTGAAAAGGGATTTACTATTGGGGAAATTGAGGGAAGAAGAGACTGAACATAAACTGCACCTATGGATGAGGACAATGGGAGATGGGGGGGGGACGGAGGGTGGGGTGGGAACCTGGTGGAGGGGGGAAGAAATGAGGAACCTTTGTAATAATATGAACAATAAAGATTGATTTAAAAAAAAAAAAAAAAAAAATCTGATGAACAGAATAAACTGGTGAATGCAATAGAATCAGGGGCATGGAAATGGAACAGACTAACAATTACCATAGTCAGCAGGTGTGGGGAGCTAGAAGAGAGCAATTATAGATGCTAGAAGAGAGCATGTATGCATTACCTATGGACACAGACAATAGGGTGGCAAGAGCCAGGAGCAGGGCGGAAACCAGGTGGAGGGGAGTTATTGGGGGTTGGGGGAAAGGGACATATGTAATAATTTCAACAATATATTTTTTAAAATATTATTTCCCAAAGACTTAGCCAATAGCACTACAAAAACAAAAAGCCCTCTGACTCCTGTGATTTTATCTGTGTGTGCCCAGGTTCAGTAATAATTTCACTGTCTGTCTGAAGTACTAACAGTACCAAATCCAGAGCTCGGCGCCACGCCTCAATCTTTGGTGTAACAATGTCATAAACTCTTGGAATCTGTTCCAGTTTATTTGAAATGCCTGAATTAAAAACTCCACTATTTAGTTTACTGTATTCATTCAAGATGTAAGATGAAGGTGAGCCTGAATCTATGGCATTTTGCAGATGATGCTGAATGAAAGTCCTGGCTTCAAATTCTGAGGAGTAATTGGCAGTGTTACAAGAGACAGTTGAAAGGTATTTATGCCATCCGTCTGCCAAGCATTTAAGCACAGTAGGTCTGTACAGTGCCAGAGGTGAGGCCAGCCACGAGGAAGTATTATGAAGGCCCCCTGAACAGATTCGGTCTCCTTTCTTCAGAGGTTGCTCCCTGAGAATCTGAAGATGGCTGAGACACAAAAACTCAACTGCACCTCCTCCAAGGAAGACCTTTTGCTCTTTCAGAGCATAATGCAGACGATAGGCACAAGTCCAGAACCTATCTTCTTTGGCTTGCATCTGTGCAGTGACTGGGCCAGTGAGCACTACTGTAACCAAATTAATCCCTTCTGTTTTCAACAGAATCGCCATTCTGCTGATCCCATCTCCAACATCCAAGGGACTGCTTCTCCAGAAGGTCATGGAGACCCCGCTGCCCACAGAGTTTTCCCTCACTTGTGTGATGTAGGACACCTGCACGGCTCCCGAGGCCTCTGCGAAAGCCTGCATCACTCTGCCACTCACCGCCCCAATCACCAACCGCTTAGCGTGCACGCATTTTCCAATTATGTGTTCGGATACGGCTCCTTGTACCAGGACAAGGTTCACATTGAACTTGATTAATACCTGTAGTACACTGTTTGCCCACAGTTCGTCTGAGCTGTCTTGATGAAGCTTCCTCATGCTTCCCAACACTGTTGGAACATTTGCAGGCTTGTTAAACCCCAGGTGGCGGTAACGCTCTGTGAGGTCACCCTCAATGAGAACGACCCGGAGAGGCTGATTCTGTAAGTCCTCGAGCATGGTCGCACTAAACATTGATACAACAGTGACATATCCTGGACACACGCAAGAAAAGGTTTCGGGTAAACCTGGTAAACAGCGCGTGAAGACTCTTGAAATGTCGAACGTGAACGGCACTGTCCAGCTGCCCTGGCACACGCGTGTGTTCTGGTGCTGCAGCCGCACCGCTCCTTCCACCAGCCTCATGTTGCTATGATCTCCATGGCTCAGACCCACCGCCAGCTCTCCCAGGTCACTGCATCTGCAAGGCTGGGGGGCAGCTGCACCATGTTTGCTTGTCCGCTCAGCACGAGCCTCCCGACTGCAATGCCTACTGTGGGTCACGACTGACTGTCGGCAGCGGCTGTCTGCAAGCAGACTGTTCCTCAGAGTTTGAGGGGTTTGCGACGTGTTTTTATCTGCATCCACCGTAGCCTGAGGCCCAGAAGGTTTAGCTGATTTAACAGGTCTCCCAGAAAGACTGGAAGTGGTCAATGCCTGAGAGGCAGCATCTTTGAGATCACGCTCTTTCGGTATCGAACCAGTATCTGAAGGAACTTGTAGAAAGGGACACAAACTGGCATTCAACGATTCAAGTTCAGAAAATACCTGTGTGCCGTCGATACGGTCAAATACATCATGGAGAGGTACGTGCAGGGAAGCGACCTCTTCAATGCACGAGTCCAAGCCTTCTGACATTCCCGACACGATTACAGACATGGGGACGCCCAGGTGAAGACATTCCTCAACAGCACGGCTCCAGGCACCAGCGAGAAACAGCAGAGTGCTGGCCCCAGTTCTGTACGCGTTGTGTTGAGCTTGAACTGCCTCGCTGAGAAGCTGCCCCACTGCACTGGACAAATCCAAACTTTCAAGAAGCCTTACTGTTGAACTGACTACCACACTCTCATGACTCTCTTCGTCTATAACAAACTTGGATGACTTCACTGGGCCTAGGAAAGTCCTTCCTGTGTCTGCAAAGGCTGAAAGTTGCTGAAGTCCCAGGTGCCTTTTTTTGTTTATGACCCTGAGAGCCATCTCTACAAGTCATTGCCTGCAAATAAAACAAAAACTTACTGAGTGTAATTCAAGGTTATAAATGCTATAAAAGAACACTAAGATATACAGTCCCTGCCTTGGAGGAGTTTCTAGTAGGTACAGTTTCCATCAAATAAGGTCCGTGCAATGATGTAGTAGTATGATGACATCAGAGATAGAAGGTAGGGGTCAGGAGGAGGACCACTCCGTCCCACGGGGAAGTAGGTCAGGCAGGCAGCAGGCACTGTTTCCAGAAGAAGGTAATGCCTGAAATGAGTCTTGAAGAATAATGTGAGTCAGCAAGTTGAAGGATGTGGTAGTAGATGCAAATATATGAGAAAAATGAAGAACAGGTAAGTAAGATAGACAAAATCTCACAAATGGTAAGTAGCAGGTATGGACTAAAAACCCAGGCTTGTCTAATGTCAAAGGCCCATGCTATTAACTACTGTACAATACTGCCCCCTGGCTGCTCCTCTACCCAGGACGACAGTGACCCACCTGTCTTCTGTAGGATCTCCCACTTCTAAGCCTTCCTCCCTTCTCCCAAGCCTGTCATACTCTTAACATGGATGTGCTCTTTTTTTTTTTTTCAGTGTCAGAGTCTCTGCTTATGGCTTCCTTTCTATATTATGTTTAAGTCACAAGATATTGCTATATGAGTGCAAACGTCATAAAGAATTTAGAGCAAAAGGAAAAAATCGTGGGCAATTTCAAACTTAGTATTTAATTTATGTGAAAAAAAAAAGGTTTTCCATAAGAAGTATGAAATTATTTCAACTAACCTGCAAGCATAAATTGATATCAAAATACATATTCACGCAATCTGTCTCATCTGACATAACATGTAGAAAGCATTAAATATGGTTAATTTTTATTTATTTATTTATTTATTTTTTAAAATATATTTTATTGATTTTTTTAAAGGAAGGGAGAGAGATACAGAGTGAGAGTTAGAAACATCGATGAGAGTCATCGATCAGCTGCCTCTTGCACGACCCCTACTGGGGATGTGCCCGCAACCAAGGTACATGCCATGGACTGGAATCGAACCCGGGACCTTTCAGTCCCCAGGTCGACGCTCTATCCACTGAGCCAAACCGGTTTTGGCAAATAAATATGGTTAATTTTTAAAAGTTGATGTGAGACAGACAGACATGGATAGGTTGCCTTATGCACCCGGACCTGGGTGGACCCTGACGGGAATCAAACCCGAAGCCTTTTCTGACCATCGGGTCACCGGGTCCCATTGGAGTGTGGATCTAGGCGGGATGTGGTTGGACCGCCGGCCAACTCTTGGGGTTCCGCCAGAATTTAGAATGACTGGGGGTGAGTGTGGGTATAGATGTCAGAGAGCGATCCAGGTGGGGACGAAGCCCTCCCCTGCAAATACTGTAGACCCTGCATCCCAGGCACAGCCTCGGTCCTCCGCAGGGGGCTCCGGGACCCCCGCTGCCCCCTGCCCGCCCCCTCAGGCCGCGCCGCCCCACGCCCCTCCCCTCGGGGCCCGCCACACCCCTCCCCTCGGGGCCCCCCACGCCCCTCCCTTCAGGGCCCCCCACGCCTCTCCCCTCGGGGCCCCCACGCCCCTCCCCTCGGGGCCCCCACGCCCCTCCCTTCAGGGCCCCCACGCCCCTCCCTTCAGGGCCCCCATGCCCCTCCCCTCAGGGCCCCCACACCCCTCCCCTCGGGGCCCCCCACGCTCCCCCCTCGGGGCCCGCCATGCCGGGATCCCTGCGAGCACGGGAGGAGGGAAGTGGCCGGCGACCCCGCCTCAGGCCCCGCGGCGGCTGAGGAGGGTCGGGCGGTGCATCCTCTCCGCCTCCCACACCCCGCCGGCGGCGAGCCAAAGCGGGCCCAAGGCCCCGGCTAGCGGGCCCTCCGTTCGCACCCCTGCCCTGGGCGAAGCGCAGGAAAAGCAAACGCGGGCTCCCCACCACTCCACCGAAGCCCCTCGCTACGAACCTCGCTCGGTCCTCCTGCCCCGCGGGGGTGCTGCAGGCCCGCCTTCCACGGGCTCGGGGGGCACAGGGACGCCCCAACGCGCCGGCGACGACCCCGCCCCGCACGCAGTTTGCGCATGTGCGAAAGGGGCCGGCCGGTCGCTAAGAGACCAGCTGGAAAGGCCGCTTCACGCTAGACGAGAAAGGTAGAGTAACGCTATTGGTAGATAGCAGATAGGGGGCTGGCTTCAGGGCCTTCTCTTCTGGCCATTGGGTCACATGGCTGTCAATCATTAGGGAAAGCCTGAGTGGGCGGGGCTGCCGGAGGTTAGCGACCGCGGCCTTAGCAACGGCTTGGGAGCAGAGGAGGCTACCGTTGGACAGCGGGCTGGACGGAGGCGGCCGGGGCTCCCGGCTGGGGGCGCCGGAGGGGGACATGGTGAGTGTGCAGCCGCAGCCTCCTGGTGGAGCTGGGGCTGGAGAAGGGGCTGAGGTTGCTCCCGGAGCAAGGGAGGAATTTTGTTTAGCTCATGAAATGTATCCTTCTCCTCCTTTTCATGATCCTCGAGTGTCAAACAGAAACCCTTCTCGCTGCTCAATAAGCGCATTGTCCGCGGCTCTAGGGAAGAGGACGGTTCTTCAATTCATTTTCCCTCATCAAAACCATCAAGCGTGAATACCTCCAGTCTAAGACAGGTTCCCTGTCTAGCCAGAAAAGAGTTAGGTACAAAGAATAAGATGCTAAAAATAGCTGGAGGGCCTGGACTTCTAGAAAAGTCCTAGAACTCTGAAAAACGAACTGACCTGTGGGACCAAGGAGCTCTGCCACTGCCTGGAAGCTTGGGATCCAAGGCTGCCAGGCAGGTGACTTGCAGCCCGGGGCCACTGGAGGCGCAGGACGCGGAGTCCTGTTTCTACCCGAAGCTGGGGAGGAGATGCCGAAATAAGGCTGCAGGAGGGGCCCAGCCAACCTCGCCTGCCAATAGAAAATGGAGAATAGCAGGAAGATGACCCCTACACACACACACACACACACACACACACACACACACACACACACACTTTCCCTGAACACTGATAATTGGCCTGACATGTATTCTTACCCAGATCCCTGCAGTTTTTCACCCAGAAAATGCAGTTTATTCATTTCTCAGTCTGTGCAATATAGGAAAGTAGGCTAGAAGGTGGAAAAGAGTATTATGTTCCAATCAAGCATATCCCTCAAAATAAGTTTTATGGTAAGACATTTAGGCATAACAGAAGTAAAGATGACTTCAACAGTACTTTTCAGGTACCTCAGGTAGGGCTGTTTGCATTCCGACATACCTACCCCTCCAGCGTGCCTTCCTTTGCCCCTTCTCCTTCTCTAAAGGCACTGATTTGAAGGAAACCCTAATTGGATCTAACTTAAAAAAGAACCAGGCTTTCCACCAACATATCAACAACTAAAGCAAAAATGTTAGCAAAGGGAAAAGGGGAGAATTGTTGAGATTCATTATATGATAGGGAAGAGGATACTTGTCTATGATCATTTAGTTAGTTCACCAATTTCATCTATTATTCTGGTTCTGGTAACTTTTCTGGTTGCATAGCTTATCTTTCACTCACATGTGTATTTCTTACAGGCATCCAACTGCGGCACAAGTTCAGACCAATGGAAGCAAAAAGCAGCAAAAATTGAACTAAATGAAACTCAGAAACAAGAAATTAAAGATGCCTTTGATTTATTTGATATTGATGGGTCTGGAACCATAGGTGTAAAAGAATTGAAGGTTCTAAAATTATTTCTAATTCTAAAACATTAAAAAACATATAATTTATTCATGCCAATCTTGTAAGTCTTTAACAGTAGCCATCTGAAAGCTCGATATAAAGTTCCTTCAGTGCAGACATCCACCTCACACAGACAAAGCAATATCTTGTTAAGCTTTTTATTCCTGTTTTATAAAGAACCCATGGGCATGGACAGCAGTGTGGAGATTTCAGGGGAGGGAAGTGAAAGCAGGCATAGAGGGGATAAATGGTGATGGGGGAAATATTTGCTGATCTGACTCTCTAGGTTTATATCTTGTCCATTGGAGGGGGAGGAGGAGGAGAGAAAGCGGGGGGGGGGGGGTCTAGCAATTAAGGTCATTTTAAAGCTAGGAATGAAATCATGGCATATAATTTATTTGCTTCCTATTTCAGATTGCTATGCGGGCTTTGGGATTTGAACCAAAGAAAGAAGAAATTAAAAAACTGATAGCTGGAATTGACAAAGAACGAACCGGCACCATTAGTTTTGAAGATTTTTTTGCCTTAATGAGTATAAAAATGGTATAGTAGTGATTGTGTTTTTCAATGAAATACAATGAGAGATTTCATAGAAGAATTTAATGATGGTTGGGGTTTAGACAGGAAGGGCAAGATTAAATATGCTTTCAGTTTAGTGACATGAAGATCATCCAGTGGGGAGATTTTTGTTAGGAAACAGTAGGCTATATGGGTGGATAGAATGGGGCCAGCAATGTGGAGCCTGGAATTCCACATTTACTGTTTTTGGCCGGCACTATTATGGGAACACTTCTTGTTTTCTTGGAGCTCACAGTTTTGTAATGGATCTTAATTACTGGTCACCAAGAAATACATCCTCTTTACCACCCTGTGCTCTTCCACTTCCTTAGACTCTAAATGCCTTGAGGGCAGATGTGAGTGCACTGGCACAACTTCAGAAGGCAGAGCAGTAAAGTCAGAGCTCAGCTACCTGGTACACTGCTGGTTTGCACCTCAAAGTCCAGCTTCATAGGAAAATAAGTGAAAGACTAATAACATTGAGCTGTTTCTGTTTTAAAGAGTGAAAAAGATGAAAAGGAAGAACTGCTGAAGGCTTTCAAATTATTTGATGATGATGCTACTGGAACCATAACATTAAACAATATCAAGAGGGTTGCTAAGGAACTAGGGGAAACTTTAACAGATGATGAACTTCAGGTAAATTTTATTTATTTCTATAATTGTAATTTACATGTATAATTATATACAACCAGTGGCCTGGTGCATGAAATTCCTGCACATTAAAAGGGAATTAATTAGAGGAAATATTTTAATATTGTTATTTGCCCTTTCTCTATAATAGAAGTGTCAGAGATGAAAGAAAATTAGTAAAGTGTATTCGAAAATCTCCCTCCTGTCAGAGTCTGGGGTGTACCTCAGGACCCAGAGTCAAGTCCCCGCCCACCCAAGTGCACCTCGAAATCGCACAAGACCCAGCCCCTGCCAGCTCCACCCTCATGGAGCCGAAGGGCTGGGGTAGGGGTGTGGGGGCAGCCTCAGGTCCTCTGACTCCAGCGCAAGTGCACAAGGGCATGACAACCATTTGCATAATTTGCATATAAGCTCTTTATTATATAGGGTTGTTTACATATTGGAATTTAAATGCCTTACCTAATTGTACTCATAAATACATTTAAAGTGAAATTTTGAGTATACATTTGGATATTCATTTGTATCATTCATTTTTAATACAGTTCACATATCATATTTATGTTTTGTTTTACAGGAAATGCTGGATGAAGCTGATCATGATAGGGATGGAGGAATAAATGAGGACGAATTTTTGAGAATGATGCAAAAGACCAGTATTTATTAATACTGTTTTTGTTCCTTTTAAAAGTTAACTAATTTGTATTTGTTATACAGTTCCATAATATATAAATATTCACCTTCAATTTGCAGTTTATATGCACAAATTTGTCTCTTGATGTCTAAACCATGTGAGATGTTACATGTTTCTCCAAATATGTTGTTAAATCTACAGCATCAAGAACAAAATGTAATGACTTCCTTGAACCATGAATCCAAGAATAGTATCAATTCCAACTGCTATTTTTAGAACCTAGGGTCAGAAGACATAAATTTTTTTAAGTTTAATGAACTTGGCCACATATGCAAAGGCATTTGGCAATGAAGTCATTACTTTCCCTAATATTTTGTGTGTGTGTGTCTGTAACCCTTTAAAAACTGTTAAAAATTTTCTTTCTTGGCAGGATAGTATTAAATAAAACTGTCTGGTAACCATGTTATTTGCCACTTTTCTTCCTATAAAGAAATTTAAAGTATTGTATCACTCAGACTTCTCTATTGATTTGACCCTAAAAGTTAGCATTTATTTAATATCCTAGGACAGGGATTTTAGCTGTTATCTAGTTAGTATATTACAACTTGTACGCTGATAGTATTAGCTCTGACTATATAAGAGACAATGAAAGTTCAGAGAACTTAAATTTAAAAATTGCTCAGTTACCCACAGATACTAAATAAACACTGATTCTAATAACCTGGCTGGTTAGTAGTAGCAGCATCCTCCTATGCCAAGGTTGTCAGGACACGTACAAGAATCAACCAATGAATTCACAAGTAGAACAACAAATCGATGTGTGTGTGTCTCTCCCTTCCTCTCTTTGAAATCAATAAAAAAAAAAAAATATTCTATGATGCTGCTTCCCCATGGATAAAAACTTGCAGGATAAGTAACTTTCTAATTTATTTAATTCTGTACCTTGCACTTCAACTGTCTTTGTTTTCTATGAAAGAGCCAATCTGTTGGGAGAGGCAGTCCCTAGCACAAAGTCTTTTGCCCCTCCCTCCCGCCCACTGGGCCACATGACAATGGGCCTTGGGTCTGGAACACCTCCCCTGAGAGTCCTCACAGCTGTGCTGGACTCTGGCCTTGTCTGAGAACCTCTCTCCTGGTTCAGACTCAATGTACACTTCCTTGTTCTGTTTAGCCACGTGTCATGTGGCATCTGGCAGGCCCCTGCTGTAACTGTCCCCTTCAGAAAGAGGTCTACACAACTGGAGGGGTGTGGTGCGTGCAGGCCATTTGCCCTGTGTGGGTTCTGGGAGGGACAGTGGCTCAGGAAACCACGCTCACTGCTGAACCTGATCTCCCACTGTCCCTTCTCTGTACGACTAAATCTCTGCTTCCTCCTGTCCTTGGCTGCATTTGTTTTTCTTGGCAACTCTGACACCAAGCTGCTGGGCAGAAGTGCTGAGACTTCTGATCCTCATCCTGATCCTGATCCTGATTATAGGTGACGGATGTCACTTGTAGGACACACACTCTTCCTAAGCCCAACTAATGGTCTTTGGAGCAAGAAAGGCTTGTAGAAAATGCAATTTTAATGGCCTCACCTGAAAATACAAACAAACAAACAAAAACCCACCACATGGCAGAGGCCATGAACAGACACTGTTTCTAAGAAAGCATGGAAATGGCCAACAGATAAATTAAAGGATGCTCAACATGGGGAAATGCAAGTCAGAATCCCAAAGGAGATACGACCTCACAACTGTTGAATAGCTATTATGGACAAGACAAAAATAAGTGCTGGAGGGGATGTGGAGAGAGGGCAGCCTCACTCCAAGGATGGAATGTAATATTTCTTAATCTGATGGAAAGCCCAGGATATATGTCCTGACCCCCCACCCCCCACCCTATTCTCCTGACTTGCACGCACATTTCAGTCTTTGCGGCACTGTGCAGCTACATAGTTAAGCCTTTGCCCAGCTCTCTGTTCTCTCAGATGCTGTTTTCTGCCAGGTCTTTCTGAGTCTCATCCTGAATACCTGGAACTCAGGAGTTGGCGTGATGGGGGAGCAAAGGGCTTGGACCATACTTTTCACTTCACTCAAATCCCTGCTCTCTATAACATTTCCTCCCAAGTTCTAGACACTTCGGCTGCCCTCCAATTCCAACCTGTTTCTAGTGAATGGATGTATTTGGTTTGGATAAAAGATATTGGATACAAATCTTTCTATCTCATTTTTATTCACAGATCACTGTGACAGTTACTGAGTGCTTCTTGTGTGTTAGGCACTGCTCTCCCTCCTTCACACGGATAAGTTCTATGCCTACTGGATACTGTTATCAGCATTCTGACTTTACAGATGAGGACAGAGGGTTTAATGACCAATTCATCATCACATGGACAGCCAATAGCTCACCTGGACACTGTGAGGCCTGCTGTTCCTCCTCAATCCCTGGGCTCTCCACCCCTGCTCGGCTCTCATTACTTCTGTCCAGGTGTTATCTTCACACAGAACAGGCAACAGCCCACATTCTTATGGGCAGAGAAGCAAGAAAGTGAATCTTTCTTGATGAGAAAAGTGAGTGAAGTCAGATGTAAGGAAAGTGATAAATCTGGAGAGGTGAAATCAAAGAAAAAGATAGTTTTAAAAAATTAACAGTCTTTGGAATTAGTCTTTGTAAATTCAATAGCAGAGAGTCATGCTGTGGTCAACATTAGACAGTCAAGATGAGCAAATAACTTGTAAGCTCAGAGATTATAGCGATAAAAGTCATTACTTTTATTTTATAATGGGCATTGCCTCCCAAAATCATTGTCTCTTGCTTTCTTGGCGATGGCTCACTTTAACCAGAAAGTTTTAAGTATAAGTTTGAATAGTTGGTAAATGAATGTAATAGGGAAGTACAAGTCTAACATTCAGAATGTTATCCACTGAAATCCGTGGGTTGATCACTAGATGTAACATGGAGGTCACACCACTAGAGGGTGTTGAGGGCTTGCCTCAGTTTGGTGAGTGAAGGTATGCTCTGATTTATGCTTATTTAATCGACATAAATTAGTTTAAGGATTTTAAAAAGATCAAAGTTAAAGATGTCATTTGTCAAGCATAACTTGAAAAAATTATAGAAATTGTATTATTCTTAAGTCCCCTTCCTTGGTAACTAATTACAAGGAATTAATTAATGAAAAGTCAAAAATTTTACTTAAACCAAACTGGCACTATTAAAAGTGTAAGCCATGGAATTATCAGGGTGGAAATACATTATTTAAAGATTCTGGAGAAGGTGAGTATGTATGCTTTTTATTTAGCATACCTATGTATGGTTTAAATTTTTATAAACATAAATTTTATAATTTAAATAAAAGAAGTAAAAAATCCAAATGCTTTTAAAAACTAGGTTAAGAAGCTATTATGAAAACAAGTTAGTAATATAAGTCCAAATTTATTTTATATAATCTGCTTTTTATATTTATAAATATAGTGCCCAAGTGATACTAGTAAGCATTCTACAATACTACTTCAAAAAATGAAGGAAGGGTATTGGTTACACTGAATACTTGGCATCTTCTGAATAGAAAGTCACATTTGGGCTCTGAAGTCTTCAAAAATGAAAACTTATTTAATTTGTTCAAGCTCTAATATACAAGTTTCGTTGAGAATGGAATAATTGTGTGTGGGTTTTTTTTCCCCCCACTTAACAAATGAGTTAATAACACAAATCCATAGACTCAGTTTTGGGGAAAGTAACATATCCAAAAGAATTAACTATATGCAAAAAAAGGAATACCCATGATCAAAATAAATTATGTTCTAGTATAAGGTCCTTTAAATGAGTGTTAAGCTAGTGAAAACATACATAGATATACTGTATTACATTATTTCTTTCTGTATTTTTATTAGATATACATAAGTACCTTTTACTTCTCTTGGAAATATATTGTGGCTAAATCAAATATTAAACCATATAAGAATTATGAAATTTAAAAAGCCTATAAATGTGAGTAGCAACCCCCATACAATCCCTTAGTGAACACCCTGAGCTGCTGTGTCCTGAGGAGTGTTCAGTGGTTCAATGGTGAGATGCAAGAAGCTCCATGGCCTTTGTGTTTTCACTCTAATTCAATCAAAAAGGCCCTCTCTCTGCCCAAAGGCCTAGTCACAGCATCCTTTCCACCAACAGGCATAGAACATCAGAGAGGCATCTGGCCAGAGGACACAGAGCACACAAACATGTTGTCCAGCATGTGGAAAGCAGAGATTGTTTCAGGAATACTCTTATGAAGACAGTATTTTAAATGAATTTGAACACTCAGACAAGCAGGAGGCTGAGGCTTTTTTTTTTTTTTTTTCAAAGAGAGAAGGACACTGATGATGAAAGCCACAGATGAGAATACTCTGGGATGCACTAGAGAGGATCAGCAAAACCCAGAAAGGGTAAGAATAGAGAGCATTTTTTTACCAATGGCTAGCTGAGCATGTAATGTGTACATGTCCCCCAACTGTGTATTTTTGGTAAATATGTAGCATGGAATAACATATAAATTGTATTTTATTGTTATTCCTCAAAATAAGTTCAGTCCTCCTCCTTAAGTCCTGTTAGTTACCTACTTCTTCATGAAATGTATGTTAAAAAATTTCATCAGGTGTTTGAAGGGGGTTGACTCTATCTAATTAATGCTGCAACATTCTTTACCCCAACTATGTGACACAGGATAAAGAGCATGTGTGAAACATGCTTATGTTTGTCTGGATTAGTTAGTCATTGTAGCAATAAAAGTTAATCATAGTGTCCTTGAATATTTCCTACCCATCATTTTCATTATTCATGAAATTCTCATGCCATCCATTTTTCAAACATGCAACTATTTGAATTAGTTTGGAAATTAAGCATAAATAACTACTAATTCTCCTGCAGTACATCTATGTTGGACAGTATTAAAAATCTATCTTACAAAGAATAGTAATGTCCTAATTAAAACCTTTCAGCCAAAATTCATTATAATCAGTAAAACCTCCATTTTAAAGCTTCTGCCAACTTCTCAATTGTTTCAGAAAATT